TTCTAGAACTCAAACACTTAAAGGAAGGTAAGCAATGCTGAACCAGGCAGGCAGGAAAGCTAAAAGCATTTAGACCCAGACTACTCAAAAATTGCTGGATTTCATCCAAATGCAGCTCATAATCAAATTTTGCCATACAGGTACCAACTGCCAAAAATCTCTTGTTTTTTTGCAGAGCCACTCTATTTTTATAATCCACTTTATCTCAAAGAAAACTGCAATTTTTGCCAAGGAAGGCAAGAAAAAACACCTAGCTGACCTGGCAAAGGTTGATGTGGCTCATGGCTCCAATCTGAGCAGGTTTCAGGAAATGTGAGTGGCTTTCTGGTGCTCTTACCACAAATGTCAATTATAAAAATTAATATATAGATATTATTTTGGTAAAAATCAGCTTTGGAAGTCAAAGAGCTTTGTTTGGGATTTTTCATCTTCTCTTTTACCACCTTGAAAGTTATTAGGGAACAGAGAGAGAGAGACATGAGACTTGATGTGTTTAATACTGAAGGAGAACTCAGGGCCACAAAATTCACAAGCATACTACTGAATTCCAAAATAGGAGAGTGTGGAAGTAGAACATCTAACCTGGGTTATATGCTTGTGCTTAAGATCTCATTCTTGAATTCTCATTTAACCAACCAAAAAGAAGGAATCTAAATTTCAACTGTGCTCCACAGAGTGAATGTCTAACTTTCAGCAGCATCCAGAACTATTTCAAAATTTAGAAAAAAAAATTAAAATCCAGCTTCTTCTGTGTAAGGGATTAAACTTAGAACAGATATAAGGTTTATGAGTAAAAGGAGTCTGAGCTTAAAGCATCAAAAGTTTATCCCCAGTAACAGCATATTTTCATATAGAAAACCAGAGCTTGAGAACCGAACAGAAAAAAATCCAATTAAGGCCTGTATCTCATCTTAATACACTGCTGACTACATCAGAAAAGATACATTAAAGACAGTGTATTAAATTAAATTAGCTCTATATACTGTACTGTAACACTTCCTATCATTTACTGATAGTGCAGGAACAGAGCACTTTTATGAGAGTCCTTAAACCTCCCCAGTTTCTGCAGCTGAATGTCCAGAATCACAGCTCACATTTAGTGTGCAGAGGAAAATGCTCCTGTGCCACAGAAGTTTCCAAACAAATAAATAAGTCGGTCAAATCCCTTATAAATTATAAACTAGCCCTGTCTGCCACACAACTGGACAGTTGCTAAACAGCTTAAACCAGGATTTTAAAAACCCCACAAAATGCTTTCCAAGTTTTCTTTGTCCAGATAAAAGACTTGTTCATTTCAGCTCCTGATCTGGTCATTTGTCCAGCTGGGGTTAAGCAGCATTTCTTAAACTCAGATTTGTTCCGAAGAAACCACGGATATTACACTGAACTGAGACACCTTGATGAGCAATTCTGCTTTTCACTTTGTGACTAAAGGGAACTACTAATGAATTACCATCATTGGGACTGTAAGGACCAAATTTCCATCGATCAAACTGATCTCAGAGCCTCAAATCCATAATATGTGGAATGGAGTACGAGTGTGTTCCTTCCATCACTGAGAAGAAGAAGCAGATTACAACACATCATCTCAGTTTCCAGGCATGAAAACCAGCACAGAATTCCCTGGGTTAAAAATGACACAGTGTTTGCTGAGGGATTATGACATCTGCCTGAATTCCTCGCTGCAGCTTTTGCATTAAGACAGGGAACGGCTGAATATTTAAACACACTGCAGTGTTACTCAAAAAGTAACAGAGTCAGCCTCAAAACAGACCCTTTCACACACCAGTATAGCCACAGCAATGCAGAGCTAAGCAGGGGTAACTCACCCTTTCTTACAGATGCCCCTACAACAAGCAAAGGGTTTAGACGAGGCTTAGCACAACTGCCCCGCAGCGAAGAGCAGAAAGGACCTGAACACAACATCCCGCTGTGATATTCCATTCAGCTTGAGGGTACAAGCCAGCTTTATGATGAGGTCATAAAGCAATTCCTACACTGAATTTATGAGCTCATTGTACAGTCATTTCCAGAAGCCAGGGACTGGTTTATTAGAAGGCAGCCTGCAGCAAAATTGAAAAGGGAGATTGCAGAGAGGTTCGCCCGCAATCCTGGCAACATCCAAGGCTGAGGCACGAAAATTGTAAGGCAAACAAGTAGGGAGGGAACATTGAAGTACGAGACTTATAAATATCTGAACAAGGACATTTCAGAATCAGCAACATGAGAAGCATTGATTTACATTCATTTTCATTTGCAGAATTTCACTTTTATTTGAAGACGAGCTTATGCACAGCAAGCAGGATTGAAAAATAACTGCTACTCCTGAATATTCACACCAGACACCTATTGCTAAAGCATGAATAAATGACAGAGAGCATTTTCACCACATAGACAAATTGTTTAAGATCAATCTTGTTTCTTAACTGAAAAACTGCCACTTGCTTCTTACATTAGTTCTTGTCAAACCACCCTAATTGGCATCAGTATCACAAGACAAACCTTCAAACACAGCCCAGCAATCATCCCAAACGGCACCGTGAGGGACACAGGCAACAGCCCCAAAGTGCTGAATTGTTCTGCAGCAGCAGAGAGAAACTGAACGTTCTTTTAAGGAAGTTCTAGGGAACTCAAAAAGATTCAGAAATACCAAATATTTTGAGACTCGGGGTCAAAGGGAACCTTGGATGATCTCTCATGTACCTATCCCAGCTCGCCTCATTTCAGACAACAACATTCTTACCGAGCAAAAGCATTTGACAATGAACATACACTCATAAATTCCTCAGAACTCAGCCAAGAAAACTGGACCACACCACTTTCCAATGATGTCTTTAAATGCTTAATTGTCTGGATTGTTTACAATAACCATCTGATTCTAAGATTTGGAATTTATCTACCTTTTATTCTATACTACTGGTGGCTCTTGCAGTGCTTCCTACTACAGAGCCCTGTCAGAACAGAGAGAAGCCACAAGTAGAAATACACAGAATCACAGAGGAAGAGCAAACAGCAGGGGAAAAGCTGGATAAACCCCAGTATCACAGAATTAGTGAGTCAGGTGTAATGCAGTCACTTAAAGAGACAAATGCATCTCTTCAGTTATGACAGGAAATTTTTTTTTTCTGGTCATTTGCCCACTACTCACTATGTCCATGTACACAGGGACTTAAATATGTGGACAGACCAGTGACTCAAAAAACACTTCTAAGATATTCTAAATAGTTTTGAACTCCAGAGGTATTTTTTTTATCAGAGTAGATAAAATCATTGGTTTATAGTAGTTTAACTGGGATAAACTGGGACAAAGTTATTATTTATGAGAGTATTAATGTCGTAAACAGAGAGAAAAGTTACAGAAATCGACACTTGTTAAAATGGAATGAGCCACAACAGTAAATTACAGATAGTGATACCTTACTGTGGTTTTCTCTTTCCCATCTACAATATACAAATCTTCTAAATATTGGGAAAATGTAAATCATGGTTTTCCTATTATGGTTGTTGCCCTCAAGTAAGTCATCACAATGATAATAATTTCAGTAATTAAAAATTTAATTTTGTAGACTTCCTCCAGAACTTTATCCTGTTGACTGTTTAAACAGCCAGATTTCTATTTTTCCCCTTCAATACATCAGCTCCTCTGGGTGCTGAACATCAGTCACACACACTGGGCTCAGCTCTCAGACCATTTACTCACCAAAGAACCCTTGGATGCTATTGGAGAGTGTATTTGTCCACTGGCATAATTCTGATCACCTGCACGGTCCTTCCATCACAACACACCAATTAATTAAACCAAAATTCATTCCCTAAACCTACCAACAGGATCCAGCATCTGCATTCCCACCACACTGGTTTACTACACACTGTTTAGGAACCAAGTTTTCGCTTTCCAGCCCCCCCCAACACCCCTGTAGTACCATCACATGGATCACTGGGAACCTGCAACTTCTTGGTTGCCAGGACAACTGGCTGAGAAGCAAAAAAGTGAACCCAAAGGCTTTGTGGTGTTTTTTTTTCATGTATTTGGTGCAAAGTTCTGCATTTCTATATTTTTAGTCCTCTTTTGGAATAATATTCCCCTTGCTGCCACGACTCAGAAGTGTCTACAGGTCAGACACTCTGCACAAAGTTCTAAACCTAAACATTAACGTTGGACATTTTACCCACTTAAATATCAGACTGTTTCCTCACTCATGCTGGTTTACATTTATAAACAATCAGGAAATATCTTGCTATGTCATAAAGTGCAAGGAAAGGCTTTATTCATTTTTTAACATCTTTCCAGTGCTGCAATCCTGCTTTGTGTGCTGCAGAATCCAGTGACGATGGATTAGCTGTGCTAATGGCCCAAAAGAAATATAGTTTAAAAGTAATACTTTCACCTGTTTATTGATCAATAGAACTGTAAACAATCAATGTAAATATAAGCATGAAGCTAAAGTTATTGCTCAAAACAACAAGTTCACACCTTCAACAGGTAAGGACAGGTGAGATCTTCAAGAGGAAAGCAAAGAGCAGCTTTAGTGCAGGGCAGACTCTGTGAGCACAGTGCAGCTTCCGCCTACACAACTGTCCTTTCATCCTGCTACTTTTATTTACTCTTCCTTTGACTCTCTCAATTATTCTGTTTTATTACTTACATGAACATCACTAAAAGGCTGAGGAACCCGAGGATTCACAGAGAAGCACCTTCCTACAGAGTAAATAGCACGAGAAAGCCACATGAGATGAGCTGACAAGTTCCCTGAGCACATCACACCGATAACCAGCCCTGCAGTTTCCACTGCAGGCCTGATCTTTCTTCACCTTTTCTGCTTGTTAGTTCCACTAAAACAATCCAAACACAGAACACCAAGCTGTGCTTAAAAAAAAAAAAAGAAAAACCAAAACACCAAAGGGAAATATTTATGAGACAAGGAAAGCTTTCTTTTTTAATCACACAGCACAGGAGGACGGAAAGCACAACTTTCCCTGGTTTGATGTCATCCCCTTACCTTCACGTGACTGAAGTCACCAACTTTGCTGCTTTCCTGTGGATTCAGAGCTTTGGTTTCCACTCTTGGTTTGACAACCTGCCGGAAAGGGCTGGAGAGAGGAAGTCCACTAACACTGATTCCATCTGCAAACAGAATAAACGGAATTACTTTGGCTTGTCTAGTGCCATGTTTGATTCCAATTAATCGACATTCGTATTATCAAAGAGAGAGAAAAGACACAAGAAGTAATATTAAAATTTTATACCAAAAAAAAGGCAAAACAAAGGTAAAGATTATTTTGTTGGGTTTTCCCTAGAAGCCAAAAATAATCAAACTACACCAAAAACTCAGGAAAGATCACAGGAAAGGATGGAAACAGCATCTGAAATATCACAACAGAGATGTCAGAGCTATTAATATAAAATTAGTTTTAGTATTTACAGTATTAAAATAAAAGAAAGATAAAAGTTTGTGGTTTTCCCTGGCAGTACCCTCTCAGCTGCTTAAGATCTTTAAACTCATTTCCAGTAGCAGGATTCCTTTTTTCAAGTATGTATTGTGGAAAATAACAGGAAATAGAGAAGTCATGTTCTGTACACCTACAGATGTAAAAATAAATAAAATATTTCTCACATGGAATTAAGTCAGAACTAAGGTTTACACTTAAAAAGTCAACAAAAAGCTTAACAGGAATGGGTGTCCTTAGAGGAATGTCCTCAGTTTGGTATTTACTATCAGTCTGGGTACTGGCAGATAGTAAAGCAATAAGAGACAACACAACAACTTAATAGTACCTGTTATTGCCAACAACCTTGTGTAACCTGAAGGTGAATAAATACACAGCAGCATATTTGGGCTTCTTAACCCAACCAAGGCAACACTCTAAGCACAAACCATTCAAGTGTGTGAAAATTACTGCTGAATCAAAGGCATCAGAATAATAAGAAAATCAAAACAAGGAAGCCTTAATACACATTAAAAACAGATTTACTATTTAGCTTTGCTTCCACAGCCCAGAGAAGAGCAGAACTTTGTTGCTTTATGCCGTGCAGAGCAACTGCAATCAAACCCACCAGTTAAAGACAAGAAATGTGTGCAGCAGATACATTAACTCAACACATGGGAAACGCCAAATTTTTACACAAAACCCAAACGCATTTCCTAAATCGCTCCTATCAAATTGTATCTGCTAATTCCACATTCCAATCCCATGGGTGGACTCAGATCTGGGCACGCTGAGGATTCCTCAAAAGAAGAAACCAAAAGAACAAGACGGAGCACGAAATGGTTTTGCTTCATTGAGATCCAACTTCACAGGTATCCAAATGAGAAAACAATTATTCTTTTGATTTCAGTTTCCTTCACTAACTAGTTTTAAAATGCACTTTAAATATCCTGTGGTATTAATTCCTGGGGGAGAGCAGGACAGGCAGCCATACAGTGCAGCATTACTCTGGATTTTGCATGGAATAGTAGGTTTTTTCTGACTTGCACAAGAATTAAGGCACCAAACCCCTGCTCAGCATCCTTTAAAAGCCAACTGACATTAAAGCAAACATCCTTATTAATAAAGCCTAAGATTTGAGGCAATAATAATACACTGAAAAATTCAAGACAGGTTGCCAGCAAAGCTCACCATAAATACATTTGATTGCAGGCTTTGAAATCCAGTTCTTTTGAATGAAAATTAAAAGTTTTAATGGAGGAAAAAATATTCTTTTCCAATTGATGAATGATTTTCACTAGTTCTATATTTAGAAGAAAAATTGACACTGATTGGTGCATAAAATTGCAAATTAAAACATGAAAAGAACGAAGCATGAAAAACTGCATGGCATTACCCAGATTTTCCATTTTTATAAGGCATGAGCTTTCTTTTCTTTGAGAAAGGAACAGATAAATACCTAAAAGAACACCACAGGCATACAACTAATGCCTTTCTTAATGACTTTATCTTTTAAAACCCCACTTTATTTTCATTTTTCGTGTAGAAAAAAAAAATAGTTTAAACATTTTCTCTGGGAAGAAGAAACTTTTGATTCTCTAAATTATACCTGAAAAAGGAGATTTTATAGCAAAGGAGACATTTATGCTGTTTCAGGATGAAGGAAATTCTAAGGTAACCACTGTAGTGATCAACTTTCTGTCTTAATGATGGCAGAAGAAAACACTGAGCATCAATGGAACAGTTCACCAGAAGTTTTAAATTACTGATACCTGTATTTTTTGAGATTTCATACGTTTTATTTTCATTCATGAAGTTTAAAGAGATGAAGATGCTGAATCCTCTGCAGTTTTCTTTCGTCCATCCCTACAGCTAAACAGCTTGAGCAGCCTTGTACTATAAAAAGAATAATTGTCTTTCTACTCTGTCCAGAAATTTTCCTAATTTCTAGAATCCACGTTGAATATTTCCATGGTAACAGCACATGACCAACACTTTTTTCCATGGTAACTGCAAAAACACAGCTTGCCTTTCCAACATCCCAGTCACTGCTGTCACAACAGAGCGGAATCTCTTACCAGCATTTCCTCTCTCCTCTCAAATGTTAAGTAAATTGTCAATTTAACTTCATTAGCCACTTTCCCAGCACGCTGCACAGAAGAATCCCACACAACTTCACGTCTGAATGAGGGAAAGTGCATTCAGGGAGTTAAACTTGTAGATCTACAACCCTTTGACTAAGCACTGGAGGAAGGGGTGCCAGGAGAGAGCTCCTGCTCCACGGAATGCTGTGCTGGACAACAATCAGCGGCCTGATCCAGGTGACAAAACTGGGAACGCTTTTCAAAAGGTGCATCACAACTACAGTGGTCTCAAACTCAGCAGCAAGGAAACACTTGAAAAGTAACCCACTGATGCCAGGGCACCACAGAAGTTTGGATTCTGAGGCAGCCTACAGATAACTGGCAATACAATGTCACACAAGATGGAAAACAGCAGATGATTTTAGGTTGAACTGCTGCTTCTTTCTAGAAGAACTTCACACAATCCAACAGCAGCACAGGGACCCCGAGGGGTGCAGGACAAGGAAGAATCACAGAATCATTTAAGTTGGAGTTCATAGAGTCCAACCTATGACTGAACATGTCAACTAGAGCAGAACTCCAAGTGCCACACCTTTCCTTAAACACCTCCAGGGACAGGGAGTCACCACCTCCCTGGGCAGCCCGTTCCAAGGAGAGCAGGAGGGGCTGCAGGTCCAGAGCAGGGATTCCCTCCAGCAGCCCTGGGGAGACCCCACTGGAGCAGGGATCCCCCAGCATTCCGGGGGATATTCCCCGTGGGAGCTGCAGCCACGGACAGCCCGGCAGGGGTTTGGAGCAACCCGGTCTAGTGGAAGGTGTCCCAACCCATGGCAGGGGGTCGGAACAAGATGATTCTGAAGGACCCTTCCAACCCAACCCTTCTATGATTCTGTGTCAGAGCTTTTGGAAAACACACAGCTTGATCATAACATATAAAAACTTAATGCCCCCTCAACCCATTTGTTTATTTTGTCAATCCATTGCCTGATAGAAATTTCAAAACAAGAAGCCTCTTGATAGGCAACATCTCGTAAGAACAATGTAACAGCTTTAAAGTGTTTTAAACACGCAAAACGACAGGAAAAAAAAAACAACTCGAGACAGGAGACAGACTCTGCTTGTTGAACTTGAATTTGCCTTTTTTTCCTTTCTTAGAAAAAGAGAACTTTATTCTGCTAAAAGTAGGCAGAGTTCTAGAAACTTGCTTTCTGCAGAGACAAAGAAGAGGGTGGCACAAAAGTAGACAAATAATCCATTTCACCCTTTATACCACAGGGACTGAAACACCATCTCTCTACGTATCTGTAGAGTGGCTGGTACAACTCACACAGGCTGAAGTCCTATGACACTTATATATTCTTAAAAAAAAAACCCACCCTGTATCAGTGAAATTATGAGACAAGATTATTTATTTACTTATTTATATTAAAAGGCATTTGGAAGAGGAAAAGGCACCTTATCTTCAGTAAGTACTAAAGCTGGAATTCAAGAAGAATTCTGTAGGAAAAGTTCTCAAAAATTAAGAATTATCTTGAAAGTTACACAGTGATGAATTTATGAAGGATACAAAAGGAAAAAAAAAAAACCTTATTTGCTGAAACGAACAGTACAACCAAACCGACATCTTCAAACTGCAGAGCCAAAAAAACCTGTTAGAAATGAAGTCACTTCGAAAGGTCATTCTGAATTATTAAAAGCTAAAAGGCAACCAAGCTTAGTAACGTGGAAATGATAACACTGAAACATCTCTGAGGACTTCCATCATCACCATCATCAGCGATACCATTACCCTAATAGAGTCCTCCAGGCTACTCAGTTTCTCGGAAGACCCGTCAAGAGTCATTTAAATTCCAAACCAGGTACCTTTCAAAGAGGGAAATACATTGTCTATAAGCTATACGTGTGCAGGAACATTCTGAAGTGGATAAAATCTGCCCATTTAAGCAGAAAAGCACCGACATGAGTATGAAACATGCACTGGTCTTGCATAACAATACTGAAAAATATTTAAGATCAGTGCTTTTAGAAATATGCTATTATTTCTCTGCAACCCTTTTTTCCTCAGAGAAAGGAAGGAGAGACCTAAGGCATAGATTTACTTCTCTCTCAACATGTAATTAATTAGTTCCTTTGATGAGTTTATGAATTTAAATATCCTCACACCTGTCTTTAGGTTCCCTATACACGGAATAAATGAACCTTCACATTTTACATAATGAAGTACTCATTGTAGATTAATTCATTAACTTTGGAAAACATTATCCCCATGCAGCAGGAGCCTTTTTAAAAGCCTGTTTCCCACTAACAGTGTATAAAGTTACTGTGTATAAAGCAATCCAGAAAGAGCAGCTTTTGTTGTCATCCCTTTTAGCATCAGGGAAATGTTGGATTTCAGAAATTAAGGAATAATAATTTGGAAGGAGAATCCATTATGCTCATAAGGTGGGTATCCTGTTGACCTCTTCAGGACACCTCAGCAGGTGACCCAGACCTTTCTGCATCAGCTCCTCAGGCCTGGCTGTGCCAAGCAGATCAAGTGCTTCCTCCTCACCTTACCCAGTGCAACAACCTCAGAGGCAAATTAAATACACACGGGGATCTTCCTTGCCAGAGAACCAAGGACATACACAAAAGAAACCCTGAAACACCCAGCTGAGGGACAAGAGATCCAAAACTTCATTAGCACTTTCAGCAAACAGGTCTCTTGCAGGGATCTGCTCTTGGTCAACTCACTTCAAGATGCAGAATCGCTAAAGTTGGAAAAGATCCCCAGGATTGTCAAGTCCAACCATCAACCCAGCACCACCACCACGTTCACCACTAAACCGTGTCCCCAAAAACATGGGGCTTTTTTGAACACTTTCAGAGGTGGCGATTCCACCACCATCCTGGGCAGCCTCTTCCAATGCTTTCCAACCCTCTCAGTGAAGAAATGTCTCCCGATATCCAGTCTAAACCTCCCCTGGCACAACTTCAGCCCTTTTCCTCTCGTGCTGTCTCTTGTTACCTGGGAGAAGAGAACGACCCCCATCTCACTACAACCTCCTTTCAGGTAGCTGTAGAGAAGCATAAGGTCTCCCCTGAGCCTCCTTTTCTCCAGGCTAAACATGCCCAGCTCTCTCAGCTGCTCCTCATCAGGTTTGTGCTCCAGACTCTTCCACTGCCCTTCTCTGGACACGTTCCAGCACCTCAATGTCTTTCTTGTAGTGAAGGACCTGATCTTCTTAATCCTACTTAATGAAGTGTCTCTAGAACACCTGCCCGTCTCTTCCAAGTGCTTGCAAAGTAATTAATTCCAAAGCCAAGGCAGCTCAGGCTGTGACATGAACCCTAAAGGATGGCTTTAAAGACAAGTGCATTCTTCTGCAGTATATATGGCTTGTTATGGGGCTGTTATCTGCCCAAACCCAATTCCCAGCATGGAAACCTATCCAACCCAGACATCACAGCTAGGGTCTTACAAAACTTCATGACTGGGCAATAAAATGTCAAATGAAATTCAGCCTAAATAAAAGGGGAAAAAACAATCCTGAACTCGTCTATGCAATAAGAGGCTCTCAGCCTCTTATTACTGTTCAGGAGCAAGATCCTGGAGCTGTGATTCACAGATTCAGGAATCTCCCAACTCAGTGTTCAACCCCAGTCAAAAAAACAAATGACAAATTGTGCATTACCGCACGATTATAAGGAAAGTAAGACAAAGCAAAATAAAGAACATCATTAGGTCACCACAGAAATAGAGAGATCACCTTCCAAACAGTGTGTACAGCCTCCCTCAAGCACACAGAATTGAGAGAGCTCAAAAGGGACAAGGATGATGTGTGGAATCGTTTCCATAAAAGGGACAACTAAGTCATGAAGAATCTCCAGCCTGCTGTGACATTAACCTCAGGAAATGTATAAAATCACGACTGCAGGTGCAATGTTCAGAAGATGCACTGGTACCTCTTTCATGCAGTACAAAAACCTGGGGGTCCAAGGACACCAGTCAGTGCAAAGCTGCTAAGAAGTTAATTTAGGTGTGATTCCTCTTGCCACGGCACGTTGTACAGTGCTGATGGGAGGAACGGAGAATTTTAGGAAAGAGAAACCCACTAAGGATGACCAACAGTGCCTAAAACCAGAGAAACCACATCTGGCTCTGGAAGCTCCTGAGCTATCAACAGCTGGAGTCCAAAAGCCTAAAGGAAAGCAGTGAGTATGTGCACGGCTTTCCTTGTATTCTCCCACAGCCACTATCACAGCCAGGATATTGGACTGGATGGCCATTGATCTGATCCTGCACAGCCCCACTCCTGTGGTTTTGCTTCCTTTAATCTAGAAAAACACCCAGTATTTTTCTTTATGAGACAGTACAGCATCAACACACCCGAATTAGATCAGCAATTTTGATTGATAACTTAGTTTACTTTCCAATTGGATAAGTGTATCATCAGAAGCATCAGTAATCTACCCCTTCTGTACTATGTCCTGATTACAAACAGTGTAAAAGGAAACAATTTCAGCAGCAAATGAAAAGAGATGAAAGTAACAGATGCCCTGCTAAGGGCATTACTTTTAAGAGACAAAAGTATTTTGATCATCATTGTAAATGTGGTTGGTCTTCAAAAGAAAAAGGTACCGCAGCTACCCCATGATTAAAAGTCATGTCATGGTTGCCATCGATTTTTCTGGCTCTTCACTGTTCTTCAAATCAGGCTCCCACCTGCCTCTTTAGAAAGGACAGTATTTGGGATGTTAAAAGCCATACATACAAAATAAAATAGCAGCTAAACTGTCAATATTCTTAGCTTCTGTAATAACACTGCCAAAGCACAGGGAGTACACAGCACCCACAGACACCAAAGTTTTAACAAAACACTGATGGATTCCACTCCTTTATGCACGCCAAGCAAGGAGAGGCTGAATCGCTCCCAGGCTTCCGTTGCACAACCTCTCAGAGAAGCAGGAGGCAGAAATTATAAGGTAAAAATGTTCAAAGATTTTGTTCATATATGGCCTCCTAAGAGCTGGACAGAGGCAAACTACAGAGGCCCAAATGCAAATCCCAAATCCCCCACCTGCTCGGTGCCAATACGAGCGTTATCTCCTCCTCCTCCTCTGGAATATTTTGTCTGTATGTTATTTCATCTGAAAAACTGCTGGGCAAGTGCAGCTCCAGAGGTTTTTTGGAGACTGGGCAAATGAAGGACATACTAAATATATGGATTTATGTATATATGTGTGCATATACATATAAATATAAAGCTTTTATGGAAGGGCATTTCCTATCAGGGGTTTTTCTCAAGCCTCATTTCCTTGGCCCCTCTGTTTTCACAATATCAGGGTGGGCTCTTCCTCCACTATCAGCTTTTTCAGAAGGTTCTAAAGTAAACCTTAGTGTGGCAACACTGTGGGGTTTGTGCAGCTCAGTCCTAAAATATTTTCAGGATTTTATTTTACAGCAGGGAGGTTTCAAAAACAAAGAAGTCTTTTAATCATTACCAGCAATTCATATAATTTCTGTCTAAATGCATTTGCAGGATAACTCACAGAAATCAGTCCTATTCAACCTGAATAAGCTCTGCATGTAATTATGTTGTATTCTTCCTATACTGAAAAAAAATTTACTTTTTTAAGGTCACTTATAATGGTAATATATACCTGCAATTGGATCCTGGGAAAAATCCAAATACTAATGATTTTTTTTTTTTTTAATACAGGAATATCTTGTTTTTTCAAGGTAATTAAATCAGTGTAAATACATCAGGCAACTGAAAAAATACAGAGTAGAACAATTACTCCAGCGAGACTGTGTGTTTATTATAAAAAGGAAATCCTTATTACAAGTATCTGGTACTTGTAATTCCAAAGAACTCTAATACAACTAAACACTGAGGCTTTTTTTTTTATTCAAAATAAGTTTAAGCACATGAGACTTTGCCTACATACAGGGATTAAACCCTGCAACTCAGGATGTCACTTCTGACAAAACCATATTCAACAACAACTAAGAATTCTTCAGTCTTGGATAACCAAATAATCAACCCAATGTTATTTCTCTTTAAAGCCCACTAATATTTGTAAATTATTTCTCTCTGTCTTCATGAGGCAAGGACACAAAGAGACATCAAAAACTCCCTGTCAAGAAAGATTTAAAAAGATAGCAGGGCAAGGCCTCGTGGTGGGAAGGTCAGGTCAGACTGTGATGCCCAGAGCTGTCACAAAAATTCCCTCTTCAATCCCTGGAGCTCAGCAAAGGGCTGTCCTTACATTACAAGACACAAACACACAAACACGCCAGCACAAAAGGCACAGCAATTAGGGAAGTGTTTCCCAGAAGTACATAACACCATCCTAAACAAGGAGAAATTAAACACTCACCATCACTGAGATCTTGCAGAAGGTTTTCTTGGCATGAAAAGTCCAGCTTCACTTTAATGTTTACAGTGAATGTTGCAATCTTTCCAGGTTTTAGAGGAAATTGGGAGAGGGTATCTTCTAGATTCCAGCTCAGGAATTCCCCATACAGCTTCTCTGCATCAAAATAAGTAAATATTTCATGAACATAACCCCTGCATTAAGGAAGTTTCAGTTTAGAGCTGTTGGAGAGAGTATTAACGTTGTCACGTTCTGCTTAAAATATTCAGAGTGAAGGTATTAAAAATTAATGTAACACCAGAAAGACAGAGAAGTTACTGGGTACTGACATTGAACTGGAGGCACGTAGATCACAAAGCCCAAAACATGAATTTGAGTGAAGATCACTACCAGTAAAAAAAAGCACATTGCACAATAGGCAGCATTAAATATACACTTCAAATGCAGCCTGAAGGGGTGCTAAAAGTTCGTGTAGCTTTGAATCGTACAGACTTGAGCCCAGGAAGTGTCACACCAGTGCAGAGAACGTTTCATCAAAATATTACACCGAACTAAATCAATTAAATTTCTGAAGCACCTGTAACATCACTCTTTAGATACTTATTGAGCAATGGAGAAGTTTAAAAAGACTATTTGTTTTCATTTTTTTAATGATATCCTTCCTTAAAGCTGAGAAGTATAAAGTATACAAGACCCAAACATGAAGGATACTGTCAGGATTATTCTGTTTTAAAAAGTATTAGTTTAATGAATTATTTACCATTGGTCTACGTGACATTGGGGATCTGTAATTATCAGCTCCTCTCTCCTAAGTCTGACATAATACGAGGAAAAAAACCCAATATTTAATGGTCATCAATACTGGATGGGGGCTTCTGTTCTGGCCAGGATCAACTACCCCCTCCATAAATTCATTAATATTTGCAAGACCATACAATGCCTAACACTACAAAAAGAAGTCTACTAATACATAAAATAAGCATCATTCCAAAACCATCATTTCAGATCCACGTGTGAGGAAACAGGGTGGGTAGACTGCTCAAACAACTACGATGTAGCATAAAGGACCTCTCAAAAAAAAAAAAAATTAGAATTCCAAATTATGTTGGAATATTCCAAACTGTCCCCCTTCTAGAGAAGGAGAAAAAAAAAACAAAACAAAACAAACAAAAAAAAAAAGAGCTTTGCCTGAAACACATTTTTCTCACAGACCATCAGGTGTCATCTCGTGCCTTTCCACATCAAATCGATAGTACAGACTCCTTTATAAGGACAAAGATGAGGTAAAAATAAAAAAATCCTAATAACTGTTTCCTTTAAGTCAGCCCCACCTCATCTAATGATTTAGCTGTAACCATATCACTGTTCTGATTTTCTTCTCTTTTCAGGGAAAAAAAAGTGGCTTAGTAAGTACAACAATCTCTACACCCTTATCCTGACAAGTAGAAAACCAATACACTGAAGGAAAGTTTTCCCTCAGCATGAAAATGAAGGACATATCCCAAGCACTTGAGCACCAAACTGTTTCCAAAATGTGTTTTCATTAACTAGATTTATGTGAAGACACTGCAAGTGAAAAGACTTTTGAAGTGAGAATAGCCCTTGCAGATACTCTCTAATTAACACCTGTAATTACACTAGAAGATCTAAATGCTTGAGCTAAAAGTTAAGCTGCAGAGAATAATCTAGTTTAGATTTATCTGACACTAGTTTATAGTTTAATAATGTTCACCTTGTTCAGGAATCATTATCACAGTGAATTATACTTTGGCTTCAGGCCTTTCAGTTCAGTGGGAGACTAATTTGGGGCAAGCCTGCCCTCAGTTCTTTCTCCAGTCCAAAATTTGTGTTTAGCAAACACCTGATGTTAAAAGCAATTGTTAGTCAAGAGCTTATTCCATCATTTTACTGGATATAAAATCACTAAAATCGTAACAAATACCACGTGACAGCTTGCCCACAACCCAATTTTGGGCTGGCCTAAGCCAATCTAACTCTTAACATATTTTAAGGTCTGCCAAAAAAAAAACATCCACACTGACATTTTGCACAGAGAAACTCAATAGAAAAGTCTTTTGAGATCACAAGAATCTCAGTTCCTCAGTTCTTTTCAATCTGAAGTCCCCTGGTAAATCTGGCTTTTTCCACCCCAAAATAACTATCAGTTCTGAATGCACAGCCATTGGCATTAAATACATCTTAACTTCCCCAGGACCTGGTGGACAGCAAAGAACCCGCAAGGCTTGTCACGTTCTTCACAATGTAAATGTATCCAGCAGAGTTTCCTCTTGACAATTAGCAACTCTCCCTGACAGGAGGGGAAAAATGCTCTAAATTCGTGAACCATTTGCTCTAATGAGTGGAAAAAAGAGTTAGTAGGAATCATGCAAGACCCTGACCTCAGTCAGCCGGTGTGGGCAGAGAGGAAAAGACTCGAGCTGGGAAACCCAGACAGGGGCTGGATTACCCACACTCCTTGTCCTGCCTGCACAAGGATGTTTGGACTGACTGGAGAAAAGCCTTGCCTGCATTCACCACTCTCCATGGAACACAACCCAGCTCTGATCTGAAAGGCTTTACTGTTTTCTTTAGCAAAAAAAAAGGTAAATAGATCTATTCTAGGATATTCACTGTTCTTCAAACGGGTTGCCTGGACCTCAGAGCAGATTTTTCATTCATGATCTGTCACAGCTGAGGCTGCAGGTAGATGTGTTCAAAGACCACGGGAAGAATACAGGAGAATTTATTTCTCTGTGTTTAAATTCCAGAGGTCAGTCACTGCTAAGAAGGATCAGTGAGGTTTTGCTTCCTCATCCAGGCTCATTCAGAGTGTGTAGCTGGTCTAGAGCTAAGAATGCCTGGTGTGCTCTTCTCAGGGCCTCAAGATGAAAACATCAGCATTACATTTGCCCCGGAATGGATCAAACAGTGGAGTTCTCAAAGCCTTTGGACTGCACTCCCTAACTGAGACGTAACAAGCCTCTGACCAGAGCTGACCTGAGCCAAAGGGTGGGAAAGGCATCCAGCTTTGCATGTCATCTTTCCAAAAAAAGGATTAAACTGTCTGACCTGGCGAGGGGCAACGCGAGGTAACACAGAGTTCACCTTGACAGTGAGCATGTGTGATTGTCCAACCCACAGACCCCACAGCCCGGCAGACTGAGCAGTGCAGTGAGACACCACGAGCCCTGACAGACGTGTCCCTTGTGGCAGCACGACAAGTCCCTTTTGCTGATGTGCCTCAGGACCCGTTCCAATAACAGGCAGCTGCTAAAGGACTCGAAAACCCTGCCATGTCCTCTCTGAACTGCACAGGGTGAGCTGCGAGCTCTGCTCATTTATCTGAGGGCCAGAGTGGAAAATCCAGAGAACTGAACCTGAAAGTAACAGAAGAGGGGAAGTAAGGGAAGGCCAAGCGTGAAAGTCTGATCTCCAGAGGTTCTCATTAGCAAAACACCACTGAAAACAGTGCCAGAGAAGTCGGTTTCCTCCAGAGAAGTGACTGACTGTAACAGCTAACATAACAAAAGAGGGAGGTCAGGTCACTAATCCCACCCAGTAATTCCAACAACAACAAAACAGAATATTTGCTATTTCACAGCGTTCATCTTTGTGCTAAAAGTTGTGGCCCGAGAAAGAAAGTAGGGAGATGGAAGTCAAACAGACAGGCCTGCAGCAGCTGTCAGAGATTTATGAGGAACTGCCAAGACTGAAAGAACCGAAGCAAATCAGGTGAAACAAGGGATGACTGAAAGCTGTTTTTATTTGGCTGAAATCAGACAACTTCTCGTGGGCTCCCAAGGTGACAGGCAAGCCATGGTCAGGCAGATGAAGGGGTCTACCAGCTCTCAAGGAGACCTTGAGCAGCTTAAATCACAGGCACATTTCAGATGAGGACTAGGAAAGAACATCCAAGAACAAAAACTCTTAGTGCACTACGGACAGTCCGTAAGTGTCTGCATATGCTCCCAACTTCATGTGTGGTATCAGGGCTTTGTGTTGCTATCAGAGATGGTTTAATATTGTACCTCCCACTAGTTCCATGCAGATAGCACTCACTGACCAAAAGCAGCTGATGACACCACAAATCTTTAGTTCCCTGCTGATCACCAGAATCCCACGTCACTGTAAAATGTTTTGTACCAATTTATGATCGTAACTAAAATGGAAGGGAGCCCATTAAAAAAGGCAAAGGTCCATCCCCAACACAAGAAAGACATTGGCCTGTTGGTCACTGAGTTGATCACAAGGGTGGGGCTCCTCTGCTCTGGAGACAGGCTGGGAGAGCTGGGGCTGTTCAGGCTGGGAGAGCTGGGGCTGTTCAGCCTGGAGCAGAGAAGGCTCTGGGTAGATCTTAAGAGCCCCTTCCAGTATCCAAAGGGCTACAGGAGAGCTCTCCTCCTTTTTCCCCATTGTCTTTAACAGAAGTTGTAATGGAGAGATGATTTTAAAGTTGACAGGAGTCTCTTTTCCGACATTCTGAACCAATTAACTGTGTCACATTCCACACAAAGAGTATGAATAACATGTGACTCATGTGCCCATATATTCCAACATTTAATACACTTCATTGCATGAAATTCCCCATTTGAGTGCTCTCTTTGGTCTTTCCATCCCCTACACCCAGCACCCGTCCCAGGAGGAGCGCTTTGGAATTCCTGAAATAAGAACAGTAAGTCATCATACGTTTCAACTTCTAAAATTATTCCTGGTAACAAGTCTCAGACCGAAACTCTATTTTGAGATGATTGGCAACTCCTATTCTCTCAGGTTGCAGAGAAGAGGATACTCTTGTTATAAAAAAAAGTCATGAGCTTGAATACTGAAATGAACAAAAATCACAAGGTATCACACTGCATTTTAATGCTCTGGCACTGACGGAACAAAACCTGCAATAAAATAAAGTATTTCTACTGTCAGTAAAGATTATGTTGCTTGTCACCCGTAGTTCTTCTGTTCATATCATTCTCATAACAGTGTCTCAGAGGACAAACCAAAAAAAAATAAAATACATCACAAAACAAAAGCAGGGTTCACCTATCAGACTACTTTTTAATACTAACATGGACAGGGTATTTCAAGAGAATTAAGTGTACACAGAGAATGTTATGTATTTCTTCCATAGCTTCAATTATTCTTTTAACTCATAATAGCTTATTTTATTTATTGCCTTGTCTTCTATCCCATTTTTTTCTTATTGCTCGCTGAGTAAGATAGAAATATGCTTATTTACTTCCACTCCCTCAAGTAGGACAACATTACTGCTAATGGCAATTTATTTAATCAACTAATCAGCATATTTAGACATAAGGAGAAAATAATTTAGACACAATATTCTTCCTCTTCACTTGCTATTGCCTGAGGAATTTTTCCCCAAGTAACACTAGAAAGAAACATAGATTTCCAAAAAGCAGGTGACCTTTTGGCACACAGATGGTTCTACAATTTCTTTCATTTTCTTTCTATATTTTCTTACATTCTCTTTCATTTCTATATTCGTACGGTAAAATTGAACTGAATTATATCAGTTTTGTCACAAGGACTTTGATACTTAGTCTAAACTGAGCTAGAAGTATAAAACAACTAGTTCCCCTTTTGTTAGAGAAGTGACCACTATTATTTCTAAATATATATCAGCATACACACCCTTGGTGTTGACTGTTTTCGCTGTGACCTCCAGTTTCTCCAGCGGTTCTGTTCCAATATTTTCTAATTTAATGATGAGCTGCTGGGTCTCTCCATTGTAAAGCTGGACAGACACGTTAGTGGAGGTTTCATCCCCCGAAGAAGGCTGAAGAGTATGAGCAGACCTACAAAATGTGACACACAGACAAACCAAATACTGTGAGGGAAATGTTAAAAGCCTGTTCAAGTTACTCTGTTAACTGTTCTTTGAAGACTCAGAAACTACAACTCTGCAGCTTTGAAGATTAGATACTATTTTCCATTCTCATTTAAGCCAGGGTCATTTTTTAAAACAGAAGTTAATAATTTATGCATGAGACAAGTCAGATTTCAAACAATATAAAATATGTATTCCTAACTGTGAAAGCTGGTTAAAATTGCTGCAGAAAGGGAAATTGCTGCAAGAAAGGGAAAAGAGGGGAGGGAAAAAAAAAAAAAAAAGGCAAGAGCAGGTCATTACAATGAGCAGTTTTAGTGGACAGTGCAGGGCATGGACCTCATGGGAGAAAGGTGAAATAGTGAACTAGAGATGAACTCTTTAGAGCAGGAGTGAGGGGAGGAGGTTGCAGAACAAGACAGATGGGCAGAGGTTCCGTTCCTGACTGGATTTTTTGTGCCAGTGCAAAGTGGTCAGGAGGCACCAATGGCACAAGGACAAAAGCTGCTGGGACTAATGACCAATAAATCCACTGGTAAATCCAGGTTCAGTAAATTCCTTTAGCAGGTATTCCTGCTATCCTTGCCTTCCACTCTGTCCTCCCTTACCACAAGATAAGCAGCTGCACAGACAGGAGCAGATTTCAGTCTTTCAGAGCACATCCACGGCCAGGACTGGGAACATGGATCTTTTGATCAGTTAAAATGGACTGTCAGGGATCATCAGCGCTGCAGCACTCGGAAATCTGGGCATGTGGAGTGACAGGAAGGAAGGAATGCCTTTTCTCCCCTCATATTTAGACAAAAGTACCAGGGAATTGCATCCCAAAAAGCAAAACAAAAGGTGCTTTCAATTGCTGCATAAGTGTAGATGTATTTATTAGTGATTCTTCTTCGGGATGGAGTATTTCTCTCTCTTTTTCTTTCTTCTGTAATAATTGCATCTGCACTAATAATGATTCTTGAATGGGATTGTTAAGGCATAGTATTTGCAAACAGTAAATTCTTATTACTTATTAAAAACAGTAAAGCCTTACAGACTCCTCTTTGCCCATAAACAAGGTTTACAGCAAAACAGTATTGCACAGTTATTTCAGTGTATTAGGAAGTGCTCATCAAGAGAAAAACCTTTAACACAGAGCACACTGGCCTGCAGCTTCCAAACTTTCTGTTCTTGTGAAAATAACTGATATTTGTCCTAGTTTATCCATCCTAGAAGTCTTTCATTGTTTTATTTATAAATTTGCCATTTTCTTCCCTCAATTTTCTTACTTTAGAGATTTTTTTCAATCAAGACTGTTTTACCCAGTATTATAATGTTTTAATATATTAATAATATGCATGGCACATATATATTTAATATATGGTACTTATTAATGTATAAATAATCTGTATATATTCTATAAATAATTATAGATACATGTAACAATGAAGAAATATACAAATAAACCTTTTTCTACATACCAGCAGTTTCACCTACAATGAAGCAAGGCAGTAAGTACAGCATCAAAATTATCTCAAACACTTCAAAAATAAATAAATTTTGTAAAAAATTAAGGAAAGTCAGCTCAGCTCCAGTAGATAACGTTCCACATTATCAGCTGAACATACACTCACAAAGAGCAGGTATTATACTAATTTAGGAATATTTGCAAGTCCCTCTATATTTCAATAGCCAATATTAATTTTGATTAAAGTCAAACCACACAAACTCCATCTCTAGCAGAATTTTTAGAGGGAATTTACAAACATGTAACCCAACTACAGCATTTTATTATTTTGCCATCTTCATTAGGGTATATATACACACATAAAACTGTTTGTATGATACAATACTGATGATCACCCCAAGGATCATAAATGGAGCTGAGATTTTCCAAACAACAGAACAATCCCTGTGGCACTTGAGCTATTAAGGCAGCAAGTAACAAAAGGTTGTTTCCTGATGCACAGCTAAAAGGAATATTGCTTAAAAAAAGAAAAACCAAACGAAAACCAAAAATACCCTGAAACTCTGCGCTTCTACAACTGCTTGTCAAACAGCAGATGGAGGGCAGGACTATGAGATATGATGATGGACATGCAGCTCAGCAGGTGAATGGTCTTGCACCTTGAAGAGCTTCCCAAACCGAACTGAATCGGTGCCTTACCAGGTCTCTCTGAAATCCAGGAATTAGTCAGCCACATTCTCCACAAAAACCCAAAAAGCTCACAAAACCCACACAAACAACCCACATGTGGTACTACTGTGTCCTTTTGGGTGAGTGTATAAGGAAGGTATTTTAGTTGATTCTCCCTGTACCTCATATTTCTTCTATATTATGGTATTGAGTTTGGGCCCCCCCTTGACCCATGGAAATATTGATCTATTGAAGCAAGTCTGGAAGAGGGTTGTCAGGATGATGACAAGGTCAGAGCATCCCACAGGAGTTCAGGTTCAAAGAGCTGGGCTTGTTCCATTTGAAAACAAAAAAAAAAGATCTGACATGGATTACCTCTTTACTTCAAGATTTTATCAATTTGTACCTTTAAGGGATTAGTTCTTTTTAAATCATAATTAACCATTACACTCCCTCAGTTAATTAAATCTCAAAATATTTTCTATGAAATTCCAAAACTTAGATTTATATTCTGGATTAAACAGCACAGACATAGTTTACATCTTAGTTTATTAAATCACTGATTGTATATGATACAGGTTTTATTCAGCATGTGAGTAACATTTGAATAAAACCAGATAAAACCTAATTCAATCTCATTTCTCACCGTGGAAGGGAGGTGCTGATCTGCAGCCTTGGCAAAGCTGGAATGACTTCCACAGTGCAGCCATTGGTCTTCACTCCCGGCAGATTGTCCAGAAGGCAATCACTGAAGACTCCAAAAACTGAAGTGTGGTAACCTGATGTTTAGAAGGAAACACCAGCATGTTGTGAATTTTATCTTATTTTATGTGACATGTCAAATAAAAGAAATTGTGAAGAGCCTGTGATTTTTCTGCATTCAATGCATTTTCGTAAATTCTGTGGAATTGTTTACAAGATCAGCAACACAAGTCACAGGATAGAGACCACTCTGTTATACCTCATCACCAATTCATAACAAAACATGTTACCCTTCAACATATGTTAACAGTTTCCTATTTCCTCCAAAAAATATTTCTAGGAAAGAATCTCAACTGTATCCAGAAGGACAAAAGAATCCTAAAGGAAATTATTAGGGGGAAAAATATACATGCATACACACAGAGACACCTGCCATGAAAGACCAAAACTTACCCTCTAAAAGTTCAATTTAGTAGAAAAGTACCTGTGCACCCAATGCCTTACCAGGCAATATTTATGAGCTATATCTGAAGGAAAATTTGATACACTGACACACAAACAGCTGGCAAGTACTGAAATCAACTCCTCTACTTGCAGTACATTTTTAGTATGTGGAACTAAAAGCAGAAAACTACAGCACGAATGTTCTGAATGCTTTGATGCTGTTCTGTATTTACTGAAATAGTTTCTGGAAAAAAAAAAAAAAGAAATCAAATGAGAAATCGTTTTATGAGCAGACAGAAAAGCACTTAAGAAAAACTCAGTGAGAACAGAGTTTCTTCAGGTTCAAAGCCATCCTCTTTTAGTGTTTAGCTTTATTAAAATGGTTCTTGCGCTGTAACTTTGTATTCCAGGAACAGGTACCTAAAACTGGGTGTTGGTAAGATGATTCAGTCCTCCTGTGTGTTGAATCCACCATCTCCACACAAACCTCCTTTTCTGGGAGACTCAGCTGCTCCTCTTCTGAAAAAGCTCTTTAATTTTCTTACTTGCTACACACACAGTTTTATTTAGGCTCATTAATGAAACGATATCTCAACTGCAATAGACTACACACACACAGAGAGGCTAAATTGTTTCTACAAAAGCAATCTGCAAAAAATTTCTGTAATCTTACATGAACACGATTAATTAAGAAAAGAGAACTGTGAGATTATCTTCTGCATTCTCAGGAAAAAGTTCAAGTAATCCTCCTCAGAAGCTTTCCAAATGAAAGCATTAATAAAGGGGAGTTGGAGTTCATTATCCTTCCCCTCTCATAGATGAGATACTGTAAGAATGTGTTTGTTACTGCTGCTGCAACCAAGTGATTTATCAGCCTGTTTTTAATGAAGTTTGGTACAGAAAAGAGATGTCCTTTTTTTCTTGCCTTTTTTTTTTTTTTTTTTATACTTACTGAGGAGAATTCAGAGTGGGGAATAAACACATGGCATAGAAACTCATCAATCCACAGGGGGGTAAAACACGAGTTGTTTTGCTCAGGGAAGAGCGACTGGAGACAGCCCTTACCATTGACAGTGATCTGCCCAGTGGTTTGGGGAACACCAACAAGAGTCACAGGATAGAGCCCAGATTCTGCCGGCAGGGAAAGAGCTGCAGGAAGAGATTCGAACTCCACTCCAGTTGTCAAGAGACCCTGAAAAAGCCACATCAGACAGATAAATCCATTATGACATACACTTACATTTTTATGCTACGTGCTTATCTTTTAATCCCTTGCACTGCATCACCCGAAGTTTTATGATTTATTCCGATTTGCTCACAGCAGTTATTTTGGGTTGGAAGTTGCAGTGACTGCAGCGTGCAGCCAGAATCACACAGAGATTTGTATTCAACAGGGGAAGGAGTTTCAGCATCTGAGGTGGGAATGATGGATGAGAAACTAACAAAAATTAATACCCAAGCATAGCAAAAACAATCAGTGATATCACCTGCATGGTGCTGGTTTGTACCTCATTTAATCGCACCTGTGACCTTATGCATTTGATATATTTTGGACAGTGGAAATCAGACATCAACAGCAACTCTTGCTTAGCTTTAATTACCTGTACAGAAAATATTTTCTATGAGGAAAAACACTTACTATTTACAGATAACAGAGCAAGTCTAACTCTACTGTCCAGCCTAAACATTTCAGTGAGTTGGAATTAGCCATTCATTTTGCTAAACTGATTCCCCCTCAAGCCTAGATGCCTGAAGTTACTCCCTTAGTGCCAGAGAAATCTTTCAGCATCCTAAATTTAAAACATGGCACGAAACAAGAAATGAAGCAGAAAAAAAATGTATTTAAGAAACTCTGAAACACAGCACTTACTGTCCTTAGTAGGCTGGGGCTTTTCTTTCAGCTCAGTTAATGAACTTAATTCAGTTAATGAATTCTGTGCTTGAGCACAGAGTGTGCTGCTACAAGTAAGAAATTTAATGTTGGAAAGCACCTAAATCCAAGTTACCATTTGTTTTTGTATACACATATATATTAATTCTTATTTTTAAATAAAGATGCTACACAAATATCTCCAATTAATGCAGCAAGCACAACTGGATTAACTCTCAGCTTCATGAGAACTCAGAACTCTGTGAAAGAGTCTTTTGTAAAGACAGATGAAAAAGCTCATGGTTTGAGCCACAGAAAAACTCAGACACTGAAGGCTGAACAAGGAGTTCAGGCAGCAGCAACACTACCTGCACAGTGCCAGAATACCAGCAGTGCTTCCCTCTGACAACACCTCTGACTGCCTGGTTTATAATTCAACTGGGTTTGAAGGGTGAACCTCTGCTGCTCCTGCCAGCTGTAAAGGGAGGTCAACCCTTCTGTTTCTAGTTCTCAATTACAAATTAGGATAACTGATACTTGTATAACAAGTACTTAATGAAATGCAAATGGCACTACCAGAACGACCCAGGCAGTTACTGACAGCTGACCTGTCACGGACATGAAGTCTTCAGTGGCCTTGACTTCCACTGGGACTAACCACCAGTAACTCTTCTTCAAGCAGTTCCTAGATGGGAACCAAAATCAACCCACCAGCACTCAAAAACTGAACAAAATCGAAAGCCATTCTCCGAATTTGTTCCCTCCTTGGAATATTTTCAACAGCAAGGTCCTAAACACACCAGGAGTTTGAGAAAGCAAACCAAGCAGGTTTGACAGGTTCTTAATTTCTCTTCTACTCAAGATCTGAAGTCATCAAGATTATAACAGATCCAAAAGCTATAAAATCTTTCATTCTAGCAGTTACTTCTTTGTGGACTTGACATTCTTGAGGCAACACTGAATTCAACCAAAGCTACTCTTGCTTTGTGGGAAGCTCAGTTAGAGAACTCTTATCTGCTACACAAAATGCAATTTCATCATTTTACTTGAGTTATAAGTAAATACTCTGTCAAACCCCCATTTCTAATGAATTTTCATTTTCCTCCAGCTTCACGTGGAGACTTGAGCTGTCAGAAACAATCCACAAAAACATAAGTAAAACCTTATTTTATCTTCCTATACATTCACCACCCTGTGTATCAGAGCACTGACACTGTTTGATTTCCACATTAATCCTTCCAGTGGGATTCACCCCACAGAAACAGGGTGAAACACTCACACTTTAATACTCAGGTAGCCTCAGCTTTCATCCCAATCATTCTGCTTTTGCTTTGGCTGAAGCAAATCTTAGAACATAAATAAAAGGTGACCCCCACACACACAGTCTCCAAAACTCACTTTTAAAACAGCTACCGAAGGTTTTATAAGATTATTTAGTCTAAAAAAGCCCCTGATTTATCACTTATCCAAGTATTCAAATACATTTTAATTATTCAGGATTCACCTCAACTAAAAACTTTCATCCAAGGACCTAAAGTCCCATAAAATCAATGATTAAAAAAAAAAAAAAAAACAAACCTCCAATGTCTTGTTTACCATCAGCTACAGGAAATGTAAATAAACAGAACTAATGCAAACCAGGAAAACAAAGATTTTCTAGAGAACAAACACAATGCAAATGCCAAAACACCTTCACTAAGCACATACTATTCCTGGACTAGAAATTAAAGAGCTTCAAGTGCATTAATACAAAAAGAAGGCAGCATTCATTTCCCTCATTTTTAGTTTTACTGTTCAGTAAAACCTCAAGTTTTTAAAACTAAAGATATTAAGAAAGCATTAAAACTCATTGAAATGGGGGAAAAAATCAATATAAACATCAACTAGGCTTCAGACTTACAGACGTAAATTGAAATCAAGACACTTACCCTCAAAACTTAACCCACACAAGTTAAGTTCTAAAAGACAGTGACATATCTAGAATGTCTGAAAGACATTTTCAAGATCACCGTTTGCTGAACTGTACAGCTCTGCAATATTTGCCCAACATTGCCCTCTGGTGCCTGAGATTTCGTAGTTTAGCAGTAAAAATCGAATCAAGGCTCAAGTACTCTCCCATTCTCTACTAAACATATCAGCCACGCCACCAAAGGAAAAAAGGAAATGTTTAACATTTCTTTTCCTGAGAGTCTTATACCCTATTTCAAGTAATATTTAGTAATCATTTAGTAATCACTGCTCTTTCTGACCCTACAGGGAGAGACCACCCATTTATTGTGTTTCCTCCAGGGAATATACGAATCACACACTCAGAAAAATGTTTACATTTCTTTGGATTCTTATAAAACAACTGCAATTGTCTTGGAGTGAATATATGCACGCTTTTATCACAGCATGCCTTTCAATCACTTCAAATCTCGATTTAGCTTGAGAGGAACAAAACAACTTGCACGTAAATGGCAGCATTTGGAGATGCTGTTAAAATAACGTGAGTGTGGCACTGCTTTTTTTAGGCTTTACTTACCAATCCCAAAATGCAATCATTCTTTTTTTAAAGCAACACTGCCTTCAAAGTTAGTTTTCATGCTGAACATACTTTTAGACCATGTTGTCAAATACTTTACGCAAAAATTGTCAATATTTACTTAAAAGTGAATTTTCCTTGCTGTTTCTAATAAGGTTATTTTGGGTAGACCTAAAAAAAAAAACCAGCGAACACAACCAGTTTTATTCTTCTCCTCCTCCACCTTTTTGTGTACATTCTTGCCCAATACAGTCTGCATTAAATGTGGTTTAGCAAGAAGTAAATATTCTCTCAAGATGGCAGAAACAGTAAAAGACGTGAACTCAGGAAAGAGCAGGTCATGGAAACAATTTAAAGGCTCACAGGCCAAGTTATGGGACTGATTATACGTACAGATTTCTCAAAATTTCAGATGGGATTTTTAAACATCAACATAGAGCTCTTGGGTAATAGCACAGTTTGGAAGTTTTTAAAAAAAAATAGTAACAGCCATTCTTAAAGCATCTTTAATCAAAATACTCTGCTTGATTGTGTCCAAATAAATACAGGCCCCAAGCAGAAGGAGAACTATAGAACAAATACTTTTTTTCTTGAAAAATTACTTAATACTATAAATTACAATATTCCCATGGTTTGGGGTAGTGTTTTTTAGTTTCTTGATATTTATTTATTCAATATGGTTTACACTGCCTGTAGATCTTGCAACTTTCTTAAATCCATGGCTGTATTTCCTACAACAAGTGCAGAGAAAATGCTCTCCCTCAATACATAACGTTGCCTCAAAATCTCTCAGCTTTGGCTTTTTGGTTTCTTTTTTTCTTTTAATATCAAAATTGAGAAACAAAGAGGGAAAAGTAGTTAAAATCTTAGAGAGCTTAACACACTTTGCGGTGCTTCTTCACATGCATTTGATTTTAATACATCTCCCCAGAGTGTACCATGATTTACTGCTTTAAACACGTCTCAAGATACAAAATAAATCCACTGGCGATTTCCCAGAACTTTCTGGGATTGTTTTGAAGGCTTGAAACGTGAACATCTTTTTTTTTTTTTTTTTTGCCTGGATGGAAAACTGCAGTAGCTGCAAAAGGGATGGAGATAACTCACATACCTCAACAAGTCTGTACAGAAATCAATATTCCCGAGAGAAAAAGCCAAGTGATGTATAAACTTATTTACAGCTGAACATCCCTTCTCCCGGGAACTTGGGCTCCAGCACCAGGAGAGCAAAAATATTCTGTTTAATCCATCGCAGTCACAGCCACTCAGGTTTGTTTTTGTCTCTCCCTCATTCTGCTGATTTAAGGTACCTGCTGAGTTTTACTAAAGCCTTTGGTCTGATCACCCCCACGATCTCTCCTACTTCACTTCACTGACTAAAATGCACGGTTGTTGGACTTAATCTCTTCCACATCCCACGACTGAACATTTTCATCTGCCATTTTACACTACTGCACCCTCCAGTGGATCAGCCTCCTGACTGTATGGACAAGGCAGAAACACAAAACAGAAGAAGACAGAAAAGGAATAAAGAAATGGGACTGGCATGAAGACTCTAAATAGAGCCCCAAATCAGGAATATGCATGACAGGAAATAAACAGCGAGAACAACGATAATGGGCCAAGAGCTTTGAGAACAATAAAATGAAGCAACAAAAAAAAAATCAGTTTTTCAGGCCTTACCACCTGAGAAAACACTGATCAAACCTTTTGTGTCCACAGCCTCATGTCAACTCTAGAAATTCAATGCCTTTTACTTAAGCACACCTCAATTAACCTACATGTACTTAGCATTAATTCTTCAAACAAGGAACAAGCTGAGGAGCCTTTCCATGGGTTAACAGCCTGTGCTCAATACTAAGTTGTTTACCATCACAACCTCCATCCATAACAAACAGAAAGACGCAGCAGGAGAAGTACCAGGGTAAGAGCTTGGATCGACAGTTCCAGAATTCATTTAACATGAAACGAGTAATCTGTCAGAACAACAGATCTGAACCGCCAGGTGAGGGACAGGGGAGAATTAGAAAAAAGGAGTAAGACTATAGATTCCAGAACAGTGACACGTTGGTGAATGGTGCACCACGAGAAAGGTAAAGGAAAGGGAAATCAAGCAAAGGAGAACTCAAAGAACAGTCAGTGACTGGAAACAAGCTTGAAGGAGTAAGTTATATTGCAAAGGTGAGGTGCTGAGTCAGGCAAAAGGAAAAAAAGTTGTGGGACAAACAAGTTGAAACTGCCACCGAATGACAGAAAATTATATGTTTGCTATGAAACTGAGTCTGTGAGAGTAAATAATGTGAAAGAATGTGATACGTGATGAGAAATCAGACAGGAAAAGGCTATGGGGACTGCAGGCATGGGTACGTGTTAATAATAAACCAAATCATTTTAAAATATTAAACAACACTCTGAATTGTTTAAATAAAAACAAGGAGTTTAATCTTACGATAAAGTAATAACTATTTCCACATTCCATAAAGCTCACGGATGAGACTGGAAAACCAGAGCCATTTATGCTGGAAGGAAAGGCTGGAAGCCCTGTTGGTGAGCCCAGTGCTCAGAGCGGGGGCAACTTTGGTGGTAGTTTAGGTTTTTAAGGTTTTTCACCGTCCTTTACACTCGAGTTTTGAAGATTTCTAAAGGTGGAGATCCCACATATTCTCTGTGGGCAACCAGTCCCAGTGTATGATCACCCTCATGACCGGAAGTTTTCATCAGAGCACTGATGAAAGAATTACATTAATCACTTCAATTATTTGCATCTCCTTGGCATGCCTGCTTCCCCTTTTGCTTCCCTAACGAACTGGGATTCAGTGTTAATTCAAAGACAGAACTTTATCACGTCAACACTGAAGAGAAGTACTGATGCCACTACAACTCATTTGCTCAGGGAAGGGATGTCATGCAGATCTATGTGAGTTAACTGCATTCCGAGGCCTTGGGGGTGTGTGAGCCTAAGAAACACACCCTAAGAAACTCCTTCATTAAGAAATATTCCAAGTTTTTTTTAAATATATAACCACGTCATTACTCGCACGATACGAATCAGACCGTAAATCAAAATGCTGTTAAATCAACTAATTCTTAGAGGAAGTCCTTTCTGATTTGCAGCTTCTCAACCACTTTTTCTATTAATTCCTAAAAATTCTGAATCCTTCTGTGAGGGTTAGAGAAAATGCTCCTCAAGGAAGCAGTGTGTTAGCTTCCAAGTAGTATCAGTAATTTAGGTCAAATTGCTTGACTAGACCCTGCAGTAGACATATCAATTGAAAAAAAAAAACACCAAACAAAAATCTGGGGCAAATAAATGTAGGCTGATTCACTTAGCCTGACAGAAAAATGGGCTTCAAGAGATGGGATTTATTTTTGAAGCAATATTAAGGATAAAAATATTTAACATAAAGGACTATGCTGGGTTAGAACTGAGTGGGGATTAAGTTGGTCTGGTAGTTGGAGAATTTTTAAACTTTAAACAGATACAAATTTAAAAAAAAATAATCCTGTTTTCTGGAATAAAGAAGGGAAAGCAAAAAACCCACACATTTTCCTTTGTTTCAGGATACACTGCAAGCAGCCCACTGAAGTAGGAGAGGGCTTGGGTTTGAGCCTTCTAATCTTATAAACTTCTCTGGTGTTTCAGCCTTTTTTTCACTCCCTCCTGATCATTTTTCAAATCACACCCATCACTGGCAACAGCAGATCCGTGAGCTGAAGCTTCCACCAAAACACAAAGCTTCTCAGAACTAACTATTTCAGTGCATCAGATTTTTAAATGGTGGTCAAAACGGGAATTTGAAAAGCGAGGATGAATGTGGATTTTTAAATTACAGTAGCAAGTGTACAATAATTATTAGGTTTCAGGATATAATTATTACTTGAAAACCCGTATATGTAAATTATGTAGCATGAGTTCTAGTCAATGCAGGAAGGTACAGAATTGATTTACAGGTCAGTGCCAGTAAAGCATTTAAACACTGTGACTGGCAGAGATTTTCATTTCAGTACCTCATCACCAACAAATATGAGCAAATTGACAACACCCCACCGTTAAACTGAGGTGCTGGGCTAAATGATTTTTTTTTTAAGCTAGTTGATTTACAGAAAACCATATCTGAAAGTCCAAATGAATTTTTTTCTTTTTTCAGAAAAATAACAGAATGATAATATTTAGAAAGATACAAACCATGTTTTCCACTCGGAGCTCAAAAGGCATTGGGTTGTAAACCATCAGCTGAACTTCACAAACATCTCCCTGGACCCACTGGAAGTCTGCAAGAAATAATCACAGAATTAATGCATTTATTACCTATTCATAGTGTTATAAAAAAGCAGCAGCAGCTGAGCTGTCAGACTGCTATAATACTTAATAACTCTCTATAATCTTTACAGCCAAAGTCCTGCTCAAGAGCACTGTGGGACACAAGCTGTAAATCCCGGGCAAAGCAATGAGTTAAAGGACTGGAAACATCCATTAAACAGCAATTTGTGCTGCAAAGTTACTTGGTAAAATTAACTAAGGCATCAAATCAAAACACATCCTTCACGGTAAACACCTCAGGGCTTACACACTTGGAGTCAGGCACGGAGTACACATCGCCTTGGATGTTTAAGGCTCAGATCAGAATCAACCAGACAAGGAATGAACACGACAGGAAGTAAGAAATTACAAGCCTTCATACACAGTTGATGATGCAGAGTAAATAAAGGACTATTTTAGATTAAGAAGGAAACAATAGCTCACCAGCAAGATGCCACCTCAGCCTCCTCCTACTAATTTTCTTTAGGGAACAGTAAGTAGTTTGGGAGATGCTGTGGGAGTGGAAGATGACAATAGGATCTACAGAGCACAGATTTTTCTTTTTGAGGGTCACAAAGGCTTAAGCAGTAACACAAGCTATTAAGTAACTTGTCAAGGTTCTCAGGAAAGACAATGAAGTAAAATAGGTCAGGTAGAAAAATGTATTTTCAGTTTATCTCTCACTGCAAGACACAGGTTCAACTTCAAAAGATACTTCATCCTGCCAAGTTTAAAATTTTGGAGGTTGTATGATTTAAAGAGACAAGGCTGGATGGGGCTCTGGGTAACCTGGAGTAGTGGAAGGTGGGGCTGGAACAAGATGGTCTTTAATGCCCCTTCCAACCCAGACCATTCTGTGATTCTGTGAGGAATTTCTGGAAGTGAGGTCAGCAGCAGAGGTGCAAGATCTGAGTAACTCTTCAATGCAGAAAGATTATTTTATATCAGCGCTTCATAATCTTTTCAGCCCACAAGTTCTTGTCTGCCTTTCACATATCACCACGTGCACCTGATGTTCAGACTTCAAACTGAAGGTGACAGTGTTCTCCATGCCTGCTGAGCAACTGCACTCCAATAAACAACAGGTGCTTTAACTATATTTGTAAAATAAATCATGATTATAAGCTGAAGTGTAGCATACATGGATTAGCTTTTACTAGTCAACTCAATGATTTTAACACCCATTGCCAACATTTTTTTAGTAGGATATTAGAAAACATCCAGTAAAGAACCTGGATGA